CCAAACAAAAAAAAATAAGAAAGAATAAGACCCTTACACCTTAGAATTAAATTAGGCTTCAAGGTCTCGTAAAAATTTCATAGCTAGATAGATCAAATGAGCTACCGTAGTTATTATCACTGGCTAAATTTGCTGTCGAAATCTTCAGCTGATCATCATCTTCTAAAATTGATCCGAATTCTTGAAACTGTATCATGGGTTGCCACGCTAAACTTGTGTTATAATCAAATTCTTCCCCTTGCCCCATTATTTCATCCCCTAGCATGGATTGCATTTCAACAAAGCTTGGGTTAAATTCAAGAAAATCTTGTCCACTTACTTCATGAATTGAACCACCTCCTTGTATCTGCTCTTCTTGAAGGAAACCACAAGGATAATCTTGATAATTACCCATAATTATGGCCTCATCCAATTGACTCTCATTCTCAAAAGAACTTGGATTAACCAAGCTATCTAATGAAGGAGAATTAGATAAGCTTGCTCCAATAGAACAATAATCTTGATCAGCCAAGGGAGATTCTTGAAGAATATTATCTTGATCATGATCATGATCATTTGTTGTACCTTGGTTCAAGTACTTGGCGAAAACATCGGCCAGATCAATGTCAGCTCCGGCAGCTTCATTGCCGGAGAGGGCAGGATTTGGCGTTAGAAGGTTATTATCGTCTTTTTTGGTGGATCTTGAACGTCGACTTTTCCGACAACCGCCGCCAACAGGGACGTTTCTGAGAGAACCACCCTTAGTCCAGTATCTCCGGCAAGCTTTGCAAAAATACCTAGGTTGTGACAAACTATAGTTGTTGTAGTAACAAAATTTTGTGTTGGTAGAGGCACACCTAGGACAATTTGGGGCATGTTCAACGTTGGACTTTCGGTTTCTCTCCATCATGATCATTGGCTTTGAAGGGAACGCTAGCATGTTAATTTGTGAAAAATATCACTCTTCAAAGATTAAAAAAATTTAGATACGGAGAGATAGAGAGGGAGAGAGTATGTGGGATTGACTAGG